GAGAGAGAGAGAGAGAGAGAGAGAGAGAGAGAGAGAGAGAGAGAGAACCTTGATACAGTATGTTTGGGTGAATAAATGCTTTTCGATTATTCCAAAATAGAAGAAATCAAAGCCAGGAAGACAGTGTGGTTCCCGAGACCCTGTCTAGGGGTGTAGTGTCGCAGCAGGCTCTGGCTTTCCGGCTGGCTGGCCGTCCTCCAATGGAGAATGAAGTAGACATTTCTATAGAGATAATCAGCCCCTGCAAGCACAGCTTTGGGAGAACCTTTCCCTAATGTTCACTTTCCACTTTTAGCCCCATCAGACGGTCTTTTGTTTGCTGCTTCTGGTTTTGCCTCTTCTTGTCTAAGAGCTGCTGCTCTGGCTGCAGTGCTCTGCCCCGGAGTGCCCTGCTTCCCACAGGCAGTGTGCTGCTCACCCATCCTCCCAGTGTCCAATGCTGGAAATCCGTGGTGTGCCACCACCACTTCACATCCCTCAAGTCACTGCCCCTCACTAGATAAAATGGCTTCCAGAGACCTTGGCGTTTCTAAGGAGACCTTGGTCTGGCCCCAGTGAACTTAAAGAATAACACTGTAGCATACCAACACCAGCTGATATTTGCGCAGCACTTCTGGCCCCAGGCTCACCAGGCCTGTTTCCAAGTTCCAGCCAACCTGGCCTTTCAGCTCCTTTGAAAAAGTGCCTCCAGAGCCCTGAGGCAGGAGGATAGCTGTGCAGGTTGCTCTCTTCTCCAGGACACCCAGCAGAGGAGATGCATGGCCCTGCATCCCAGCCTGTGATCCGCTTATTCAGTCCTGCCCCATGGTGTGGGGTCACATCTGCCCTAAGACGAGGACACTTTTCCTTCATTTGTTCCAATGTGCCCGAGGGCTGGCTGGTCAGCACCAGACACCCTTTTCTCCTGGTTCACTCCTAGGCCTCTTCTGATTTCCACTCAAATGATATTTAAAACATCCTTTGAAGCCGGGCGGTGGTGGCTCACGCCTTTAATCCCAGCACTCGGGAGGCAGAGGCAGACGGATCTCTGTGAGTTCGAGGCCAGCCTGGTCTACCAAGTGAGTTTCAGGAAAGGTGCAAAGCTACACAAAGAAACCCTGTCTCGAAAAAAAAAAAAAAGAAAAAAGAAAAACATCCTTTGATTAAGTTGGGGGTCTACCTATTATTCTTCCTAGCTCTTGGCCCAATTTGGAAACAACTCTGTGTGCTTGTCTGATGAAGGTCCATATCTACAGGACTGAAAGCCATAGGCACACAGCCTGGCCTCCTGTTTGCTCCTCTTGGTATTGGCGCTTCGGACAACACAGGCGTGTAGCAGGCACTCAATAGCCGTGGAGGCCGGCCACTGTGATCAGACAGCTACAGAAACAACTTAAGGAAAGAGGGGGCTTATTTGGGCCCATGGTTTCAGTTCCCCATGGTGGGGAATGCCATGAAGTGCATGAAGTCCTTGGCCACGTGAACGCGTGGTGGAGAGCCCTCACATCTAAGTTGTCTAGGAAACAGAGAGCTAGAATGAGACCTGGGCTAAGCATGACTTTCCAAGTCCCTCCCCTGGTTACTCTCACCAGTCAGTCCCCACCTCCTAAAGGTTCCAGAGCTTTCCAAATAGCACCACAAGCATGGCGTCCAGTATCCATGAGATGAACCTGTGGATACATTTCAGATCGAAACACCGACAGCCTGGCTGTGGGCTAAGGCTGCGCAGCACATGGCTTCATCAAATCTTGACACCAGAAACAAGGGCTGCTGTGACATTGTGTTTAGGGCTGAAAAGGCTGAGAGGCATGAGGAGGAGGAGGGTATGACAAAGGGAACTCATTCAAGGTCACTGACTGCTTCCTACTGAGAATGCAAGCTGTCCAGACACAGGGAGTGACCAAAGAAGGGGAGAGACAGCCAGAAGGTCACTACCATGGCAGTGGAGTCTAGCAGCTGATGGACAATAGAAGAAAGCATGGCCACTTGCCTAGGCGTTTAAAAAAAAAAAAAAGTGGAGAAGGAAAGCCATAATCACAGAACACACTCCTCCCCTGACCTTCCAATGACAATGTAGCGGACTGTCATCTGTCCCAGTCTCCCCAGCAAAGTTCTGTGTCAGGCTGCTTTAACAAAGGAGCGTCTGTGGCTGGCATCTGAAGGGAGATTTGGTGGTCCTCGTCTATTCAGTGGCATTCTTCCCTGGCTGTAGGTATATCTCAGTTCTGACTCGGCGAATGTCAAAGTACCAGTGTCCTGTTGGGGACCAGAGGGAGGAAGAACTGCAAAGTCGAGGCACTGGGGACAGGCCAGCCCGACAAAGGGCCTTGTCCAGTAATGAGACCCAGAGCTGCTTTGCATCTCAATGATATGTGCAAAAGGCAAAATGAGATGGCTAATAGGCCTGTGAGGCAGTAACATGAGGCCACTTTTAGTGATGTCCCTGGCATTCATGGCTAAATAATACAGTGCTGTCTCGTTCGCAAACAAGAGTAAGTGAGAGAGAGCTGGCGTGTATCAGGCTGAATGAAAAGGATCTGCTCTCGCAGTGAAGCGCCTGGGAATTATTTGCTTCAGTGGGCCAGCTTGAAGGGACAGATGCCACGCCAGGTCCTTCCCTATCTTGGAATCAGTGCAGCTGGCCTCGGGTCAGATAAAAATAAAGAGGCAAGCCTCATCACCAGGACGCTAGGGGCAAGAGAGATGAATGTGTCAATCACAGGAGGAGGTTGCTGCAAAGAGGCCCCTCATGGCTGGAGCTGGACATCCCCAGAGCAGACATTCTATTGCTGAGTGTCTCCAAGACGACGTGCCTTATTAGCAACGATGATCAGCATGACTGCCTCCTTTTCCTCCTAATTAAATGTATCTGCACCCTAAGAATCAGTGCTATAATCTTGAGAGGAGCAGAAACCAGTTTTCCTGATAGTGTGTGCATTGTGTGGATTTAAAAATGTATTCACACGCTTTGCAGCTTTTGGCTGCAAAGTAAAAGATCTGCGGGCTGAGACTATATACCATGCTTGTGAACTGGGCACTAAGAATAGGGCCAGAGAGCTGGCTCAGTGGTTAAGAGTACTAAGTGTGCAATCACTAAGACAAGAGTTCAGATTCCAGGGACCATGCATCAAGCCCACCATCCCTAGCCAATCTCTGAGAGATGTGACATTCTCTTTTGGTCCTCATGTGCACAGGTACATGCACCCGAGTCCCCCCCCCCCCCCACATACACACACACATGCTTGCACTCATAAATACACACTAAAAAGATCTGGGAAGGCAGTGCTCATCCATTTCTCTGTGCAGTTGTATGAATTACAGAGTCAGGTAGGAAGAAAGAAAGCTTGCTCAGGATTGAACATTACATTTTAGATTAAATTTATCCTCCTTTCATTAAGTAAAAGATGAACTGTTTTCTTGGAGCATAAAAGCAGGAATGATCCAGATAGAAATCCATTTCCATCATCGTAAAGTCTCTTAATGGCCTAGGGTTGGGTGTGCTATCCACCTACTGTATCTGGCAAGAGATGTGGCCCTCCACCTTAACTGCCTTACTCTCTTACACCGTTTATTGGGCACTTACATTCTGGGGCAAGGGGTGCACGTGGGTGCGGGTAGGTATAGAAGGCAGATGTTGATGTTGGCTGTCTTCCTTAATATCACTCCATTTTTTTTTTTGAGGCACTCAAAAAAATACCTGCAGTCCATTGATTCTGCTTGGCTGCCTGGCCAATGAGCAGCAAGGACTCGGTCCCCACCTCCACAGTACTGGGGCCACAGGTGTGTATAAATGTACCCAGCCTCCTTCCGGGTACTAGAGATCTGAACAGTATTTTACAGATGGAGCCACCTCTCCAGCCCCCTCACAGCCTTAGGAATGTCAGCCACTGGCAGAAGTCCAATAGTCTCGTTGGAATTTTACCTCCAGACATATGGCTGACTACCTCTTCAGATGAGATCTCCTAGG